GGGTGGTGCAATCTCAATGACAGCCAAGTTCAACCACCAATTAATATGAATTTAGAAGTACGTCCTCGCATACTTAGTGTAGAGAAAATAAATCAGAAAAAAATAATCGTGGGTCAAGATACACTAAAAAATTATGCGAATCAAGTTCTGCAAAAATATTCTGATTATCTCGGAAGTTGGGATATCGAAGAAAAAAATTCTCAATGGTATGTATATTTCAATCGAAAAACATATCTAGAATGCCCATTGTGTAATCGCACACACGACAAGGATCAGCGGTGGTTTGGTCGTGTATATGGTAATGGTTCATTCATAGTAAAATGTTTCCAGCAAAATAGAGATGAACCTGGGGAAATTTTTAACGACCCATCTATCGCGAAAAAAATCCAGCAAAAAAATAAAAATAATATTCCACCACCCGTTATACGTAAGGTGAAGGGTCCAAAATTTCCATGGCCTTTCTTAGAAATGCCAGCTTGGGTTAATTGTGATTCCCCTCTTACTGCAACAGAAGTATATGAGGAGCAATATGTAAAACCTTTACCCGAGGAGGGCGATGTATATGTAGGATCACCTTGGGAGACTGGAAAAACTTATACGTTAGAACACCTTACTATTCCCGATGGTATAAATTTGCTTGCTTTATCTACACGGCATACCTATTCTAGTGCTGTCACTACAAGGCTAAATCTCAAATCATACTGTGATATCGATACTAAAGATATAAATCTTCCAGATTATCGAAGAGTAGTATGTCAAATAGAAAGTTTACATCGCATTATTAATAAATGTAAATGTGAGAAAAAATGCAAATGCCCTCCAATACCATATGATTTATGGCTAGATGAGGTAGTATCTGTGAATAGTCAAGCCCACACTCGCTTAGCAGGGCGATCGAGGGATCATTTATATAAGTTAATCCAAGATGCGAGACGTGTTATTGTTATGGATAATGATCTCACTGATCTTAATATAGAATGGATTAAAAACCTTCGTAGGAACAAGCTTTTCTCAGTTATCCATAATACTTACCAGCCCCAGAAAGGTAAAACATTCCGCTTAGCTCCTAATAAAGAAACTGTATTAGCTGAACTTTGGGAGTGGGCAAGAGTGATGTCTTCATTACCTTATGAAGAACGAAAAAGCGCATCACTCATTTGTCATCTTAGAGGGGATGTACAAGGTATTACTCGCGCTCTGATAAGAGAATTTCCAACATTGCGCATCAAAAGATATCATGGAAAATCAGATCCAATTGAGAAGTCTCAGGATTTTGGTAATGTTGATGAAGCATGGAAGGACGTGGATCTTGTTGCATATACAAGTACATTAAAAATTGGTGTTTCTTGCACTAACCCCAAGTTCGAGCGTGCATTCTGCCTTTTCAAAAGTTATATAGAAACAAATGCCGGAACAAATCAGATGTTATTCCGCATGAGATGTATTAAGGAATACACATGTCACATCAAACAAAGATCGTCAAATCTCCCAATCACTGAAGAAGGATTATTCCACTGGTTATTAAAAGCAAAGCAAGAATGTCTTCCTCATGAACTTCAAAATAGGGGTATATTTCCGGATGTAGAATCCATTATTCGAAATAAAGACATCCCAACAGTTCGATTATGGGTTGCCCATACATTGGAAAAATTCCGATCTCGTCGTTTGTTTGGATGGAGAATGGTTGATTTTCTTAAAAAAGCAGGTATGATAGTATCTATAATAAAAGCTACCCCCAAACCCAAAGAAGATGTCGTATCATTAACTACAACCGTAAAGGGGTATTCTTCGGCTATTAAAGCAGAAGAAATTTCAGACATTGCTAACGCCAATATTCTCAACCATGAGACGGCTGAACATCTAGAAAACAAACCAAAGAAGACTTTAGAAGAAATGTATGCATTAAGCCGGTACCATATTGCAGATTGCTATGGAATGTCACCTGAATCTATAACTGAAGAATTCATCACGGATTATGGTGGGTATGATGAAATGAAATGGTTTAGAAATCTTCGGAAACTACGAGATGCGGGCACTAATAATGAGACGGCGGTTGAAGCAATTACTCGTGCGGATTATAGAGATGATAGACTTACAACCGTTACCCAAGCTGAAAAACACCGAATCTGTCTGGATATACTAAAGACTTGTACACCTGTTAAAGATATTGATGATCGAGATAGATATAAAGCTGATATTGTTAAATCGTGTTTAGAATCGCCTAAGTCTATGAAGTATCTTCAAAATTTAGTACCTAAAATGGCAAGAGTCTTTGATAATACAGATGCATTTCGACGTGCTAAAAAATCTAGCTTAAAATCAATAAAATCAAAATTAGGATTGTTGAACTCAGCACTTTCTGCAACTTATGGAATAAAATTTAAAGCTATAGACAATAATCGCAGGTATTATCATCTAGTTGGTCCATTTGATAGTGCATATGCACCTGAGTTATCGCCATATCAAACGGGAGAAGGGCCCTTTTATGAAAATGATGAAGATATACGATATGGATATAGTAAACTCTCACCTGATGAATTAGAACTCCCCTCCAATTCCGACTTACAAGATCGTCAGGATATGTTTGATATCGTTTAAAATGAGCATTTAGGGTCCGTGGTAAATCTACAAAGAAGGTTTTTGTGACGCTTAAAAAATATACTTGTAAAAATTATCCTATTACGAAGACCATTTTTGTGATGCTTAAAACTGATATCCATAGTGACTACTTCAGTAAAAGTGAGTATATATTACGCATCTGCTTCTATTCTCTGTGCTTTTTGTCTCTCATACCAATTTCGAAAATAAACCTTCTTCGCGTGTTTAGGACAATATCCTATATCAGCACTTGTTCGTTTTCCACAGACCCCACAAGGAATTTTTGCCATATTCCTATCATATAATTTCCAGTGTAACGAACATCCTATGTCTCGCCAACAACCTTTTCCACAAATCGAACCATCTCTTTTAACATATGGACAGGTTGAACGTCCCGAACTATCTCTTTTAACATATTGATATGTTGAATTTCCCATCAAAGTGTTTTAATATATAACATATAAAACCTGTTTCACTTTTTATGTGAATATAATTAATATAAAATCAATTTAAATCCCGCCTTCTCATGGTCAAGTCCACTCGAAGCTAGAAAGTGGATAGCATATACTGGAACATATATATCTTTTTTCTGAGAGATAAAGAGGAAAAAAGGAAATTAATTTAGACTTTTCCAAACTATTTTGTAATAATATAATCGAACAAAGATTGATACTATATACCACATTTATCATGTATACCAAAGAGCCGGAGTATAATAAAGAAACGGTTACCGCTGAGGAATTATCCAAATTGGCTAAGCGTTCAAGGAAGCCAAAAATATATAACCCCAAAACAAATCGTATGATTGCAATCAATGGACCAACATATAATCAATTGATACGTGATGGATATATGTATTGGGAAGAAGGACTCTTGATTCCATCACTTAATTTCGATCATTATACTAAAAAATAAATCATATTATCTAGTAACTTGATACATTGATATAGCCTGAGTCTCCACAACTCAAAGCTATATGCACTGCGTACATGCGAAGCAAATTTTTTCGTTATATTCTATGTATTGGTAAATTTCAAATCGACGGATCTAATACGTACCTGGTATATATGAATAATTTTTTCCAGGATCTCTTTGAGTAATCTATATCTTCTTTGATCCCATTGATATTCTCATTAATTTTATTATGTAAAGCTATGGATTCCAAAACCTTCGATCAAACTCGTGTCTTATTCGCATCCATTTTTCGATAGAATTACTCTAACCACGACCTATTCAATTTTTGGATATAGATATACTGACCCATGGATAATTAATTTCGATTTGAAAAAAGAATCACCATAGTATATACCTGAGATATTTATAGTATAAACCCAAGATATTTATAGTATAAAAATATATTAATCAACTTTATTATTCATGGCAAAAGTCACTACAGAATTTTTCAATCGCTATAAATTGTCACCCCAAACTAGCTTATCCCAGCTTAGTAATTACGTTGAAGAATTGGCCGGTAAACTCTCAGATGGTAAGACAAAAGAGCAGGCGGGAAGAGCCAGAGATCAAGCTAGAAGACGCTTTCAGGAATTGGGTCTTAGTGGAGAACAGGCACACACTCTTATTCCTAAACAGGCACCTGGGTGACGTGTAGTTGGAAGAGATCCCATCAAAGTTATAGCTAGGCATATTATGAAAAATGATATCTCACCTGAAAAGATAAATGAGATAGCAAATGATTTGGTTAATACTGCTCCAAATGTTGTTGCTGGTGCCTCACGCCTTACATATCTTCGAAAAGAATTAGAAACTCTGGGTGCTGATAGTCCTATACTAGAATCAACAAGCATACCTCAGATTACTAAAGAATCACAGAAAAAACAGAATGAGCGTCACGAACTTAATGAAGACAGAGGTATGGATTGCCCTGAATTCTTTTACTTAGAGAATGTTCAGGATAGACTTAGTAATTGTGATATTACCAAACCTCCTTTCATGCAGAATTTGATCGATATAATAGTAATGTTATCTATGAGACCAGTAGATGTTGCAACTCTTCGTATTAATCACTATCCACCAAGTTACGAAAAATAGTATGATCCTAAATATTCTTGGTATTGCACTGGCTACACCAAAAGTCAATTTGATGAACCATTGCCATTCTTTTCAATGGAAAGGGATCCAAAAAGAGCAATAGAACTACTCACCTGGATCCAGAAGGCAATTCCAAAGACTTTTCCATTTCTGTTAAAAGGTGAAAATGGTTATGTAAAAGTTTATCCACTTAATCGATTCTTGATTCCCCACGATATTACCTCATATCAATTAAGAAAATTTGGTACTGATCATGCATCAAGAGCTCATGGTGGTAAAAATGATTCTTGTCGTCAAAAATATTGAGATCTAGCAACGTGTCATAAAAAAGGACATAGAGCTACAGCACGATATTATGGTGTAATAAACGACAGGCCAATTATTCCAGCACCTAGGCCAATCACCCCTATGATTAAACAAAAAAATAGTGAAGTCGAGGATATTATCGATCTATATGGAGAAATTTCTGATGATGAGAACTAATCGCTTAAAGGCCTTGAAACTATACGCTTCTTTACTTTTATCGGACCCATAATAAATTCTTCATCACTAGACGATTCAGAGCCAGACCCAGACTCAGATGTGGTATTTTTGGAAACATTCTTCTTGCATTATCTTTTAACTTTACATGGAATGCGATTATACTGAGAGATATCAGGGTTTGTTATCGAGTTTATAATATCTTGACGAATCTCAGGTTTTACTATCTTTAATAATTGACGAATTGAAATCTGAATTTTTTTACCCGATACTTGCTTAACAATACCGGATACCACACTATTATTCTGAGATTCGTGGAAACTCTCAATAACCCCCGCTTCCAATTTTTTAGCAAATTCTTCAGTTATAGTTGACCAGTTAGTGTCTGAATCGGTAGTAGGTTTAGTCATTGTCGATATCATAATATGTGTCTTGACACTAGCTTTGCTATTATTTATTAATATGCCGGAAAAAATACATTATTGAATATATATTATTAATATAGAACTATAATGATAACTTTATCTTGCGAAATCAACAAAGTACCAGTTACAGCTATATTAGATTTCAGTGCTAATTGTAATATTATAGGTAATAAGATAGTAAACGAGCTAGGTCTGAAAATTGATGATACATCTAATGCAGAAATATACAATCCCATTAGCAAGCTCGATGCAGTAGGGGTAATTCATGAAATAGAGATTTCAATCCTGTCGAAAGACCATAAATGGGAACAAGTAAAAGTTACTGATGTTTTTGTTGTCGATTCTCCTGAAAAGACATTGAGATTGGGTGATCCATGGCTACAGTTAAATGAAGCGAAAATGGATTTCCCAAATAAAACTCTTACATTACTTGATGGAACTGACATACCATTAGTTAATAAATCAGAAATCCCAGCACCAGTGCAAGGTGATCAATCCCTGGATGATTATTTCAAGATGATAAAGGTATATGCTATAGCATTGGATGTCGATTTAGATAATCAAGACCTCAAGGGAACATTCTTCAATGGTCTATCATTAGATAATAAAAAAGAAGTAATTCGATTCGGGTTTAAAAATCCTCTGAATGAAATAGTTGGCCATCTAAATAGAATCTCATCTGTACCCACCGATATGCAAAAGTTTCAGCCTGCTGGCACATGGTGCCAATTCAGATCTTTGGAACAAGGTAATGATTCGATAATGGATTTTTACAGGAAAGTAAAAAAATATAGTAAATTAGCTGGATATAACGAAGAACGGCTTAGATATGAATTTCTTCGAGGAATATCTCCTGAGAATCAGTTGGAAGTTAGCAGATGTGGATTGGACCTTCCATTAGATGAGCTAGTAGAAAGGCTGAGTAAAATTGGGAATATCCGGAAAATTCAAAGTGGTATATAATGTCCATAGTATCCACTCCTAAAAATTAATTATCTAAACATTAGTTATTTTTTCACGGTAATATACATCATTAAATATACTTAACATGTTTGTAAATACCCTCGTTGAAGGAAAAATCCTGGTCAAAGCGTTAATAGATATAACATCTAAATCTAATACTATTAGCAAACACTTATTCGATAAGCTTGAATCTGATCACGGATTAAAAGGTGTAGTTGGTGATGATCTGATAGGCGAAGAAATAAAATGCTTAGATTTACAGTTTTGCATTAAAAGAAAGTGGCAAAGCTTAGGTGATACTGAACTAATAGACTTTCAAATTCGCAAAAATCTGTCATTCGATCTAGTGTTGGGGCAAGATTGGTTATGGATGCGTGAAGCAAAAATAAGCTTTGGACATTCTCCCAAAACCTGTGTCCGCCATGCTAAAATTGTAATAGATGATATGAGCATCCTGTTAATTGATGAGGATTTTAACAAAGCCAGCTCCACTAAAAATAATTTATCTAAATCAACGGAATCTAAACCTGGTCTAGCTCAAGAGGAGGTTATAAATATAATTAATAAAATTCTCTCAAATATCGAAGATAGACTTGAAGGGTCATTGTTTTGTAATAATAAGCAACGAAAGAAACGTCATGGAATATTTCACAACATACCTACTGTATCTCCAACACCCAGAAGATCGAATGACGATGTTCCCAAAAATAAGAGTAAGAAAAATAAGGTCAAATATTCCACGGATGCTTCTTCTAATTCAGATACTTCAGACAGCAATTCAAGTAATTCTTCCACATCTAGTTCGGAAATAGAAGTTACACATGCGCATAAGACTAGAGCAGTAAGGAAACGCCCTATTCTCAAGCGTAAAGTAAAAGGTAAAGTTAATTATCGAGCTTTATCTTAATTCGTCTAATAGCATTATAAATCACATCACGTTATAATGGGCCTCAAGAAAGTGATGACATGTGCGAATAAGTATTTGGCTATGCCAGCTTTACTGAGAAATAAATTGTTTTATTATATATTGGAAGAACGAATTACAAAGTTTCGGGATGTATAATTTAATTTTCCGGTATGCTGTATAACCTGACACTTTATGCTGAAATCAGTGGCTAAAAATTTGTTCGAATTGAGCATGGATTTCTTTCCATTCTTTCATAAGATCATCAAGCCATACAGTACTTAAACTACTCTTTAGTATACTGTGACGTAATAACTCTTCACCAATCAGTCTTTCCCGATCTGTTAAAAATTTATGATATTTTCTGGTATCTTCATTCCTTTTTATTCCTCCACGATAAAAACGTATATCTCTCTCCAACTCACCACGGAAGCATCCCATGCTCCACCTTTTTTTCTCAGCCTCAGTAGCAATCAAAAGTTTCACAGCACCCTTTTCGATTTGTGAGGATTCAGGAGCTTCAGACTTTATCCAGGGATCAAGCCCAGTCTCTTCCGTATATGCTCTATATAAGCTTGAACGGATTTTATCTGTCAAATGACTTGGTGAATCAACCAATTTAGCATGCCAGTTCAAATATTCAGGGGTTAAGGCTTTATCCATGTTATTGTTTTATATGATTGCAAATTCAAATTAAGTATGAGTTGTGACTCATTCTTTGATATATATAGAAGCAGAGTTGGATACAAAATAACCGCTTATTATTATGGAATAATGAATAGAATTCGGTGTCTTTGTCTCACTTACATAACAAGGATACTTACGTGCTGACACTCTGTACATATTCCGAATTAATAATTAAAAAATAAATATAGTATTGCAAAGCAATGACCCTTCGGGTCTAACTAATTTACAAACGTTTGAAACCAGAAAATTTGTTGAAGACATTTACATAGTGGCTGTCTTTATGATTTATACTGTTATCTCGATTTCATGCTTTCCACATTTAATAAAATAAGATCCGACTCCATATCTACCTTTTATACTTTTCTCATCTTTGTGACTCAGCTTGCATGCTGGACATAACGACTTATCAATGATTCCATAATAATCGAATTTTTCACTGCTAAATTCTCTATATATATCAGGGTATCGACCTAATATTTTATTACGAAAATAAGTACGATCATGGGTCAGATTAGACGGTACATTTGCATGATCTATAGATGGAATTTTATTTTCTGGCAATATATTATCTTTCAGAGAAAGTGCACTTTGTGCACTAGAAGAAGCACCTACCTCTGCATTAGTCTGATCATCACGATTCGTGACAGTTTTTGGCACTTCTGCTGAAGTTACATTCTTGATAACGTTTTGAATTTGAGAATTAGTAAGGCTCGAGATGGCATATATGCTGTAGGTAACTTGCTTAATTTTATCTATTCCAACTCCATCTTTCCCAAATAACATACGAATTTTTTTGGCTCTTAGAGTTTTCATACGCAAGTTTCCTGATGTAATGCTAGGTAAATGGTTTAACATTTGCTTGTATAATTGCGTTCTAGCAGTTTTATCTGTAATTCCAGTCTCACAGCGAATTTCGATAACTTTAATTTCAAAACTGTCTGAGTAATAGTACCAAGATAAGATTTCTTCATGTCTAGCTCGTATTGCATTTTGGAATAAACAGACTAATCTTTGCGTTGTAACTTGAGATGATTGATGCTCTGTAATCTCAGAGGAAACCGGTGAGACAATGACTCTACTACTTCGCAATTCTTTTGTTAATCCTTGCTCTATATATTGACTTTTAGTGGGCTCGATTTCATCAGGCTCTTCAGACGCATAAATGTTATAGTTTGGAGACTCGCACCCTGGTTTTTCCTGCGATAAATGTTTTTTAGTTTCTATATTAAGATTCGAAAAGTTTTTTTGCCGATCGTCACGTTTCGTGACGGTAATTTCTTGGCATTTTTCTTTTCCGCTTACATGATTTTGCTCGGGAGAGATAGAAGTATTTGAAATTAAGTTTTGGGATCGGTCTTCAGCTGATTCACGTTGAAGCTTCTTCTCCCTATTGCATTGCTTTATCTCGCTACTAACTTTTTCCTTACTTTTCAAATCCAGAAATTCATCGATCTCTTTATTTTCCAACGATTTAGGCTCGGGCGAGTGTGTATGAATATGGGAAGAAATATCAGATGATGCTTCGTGGAGAATAGAATCTTCTAACACATGTACGGTATCATTTTGTGTCTGCTTCTGTTCCAATTTCGTGACTCTGTCTCTAAGCTCAACATTCTCAGCAATAAGATTGCCAGTATCCATTTTATTTTTCTTTTCTAGCTCCTCGAATCTGATCTTGAGCTCAGCATTTTCTTCTATGGCTTGTTTCAATTTTGCATTCTCGGCCTTGACCTCAGCGTTCTCCTTTCTAAGCTCAGCAATCGTGGCTATGAGCTGAGAATTTAATTCTTGCAACGAATCGATTTTGGATTGAGTATTCGACATTACTTTATATAGAAAGCACATTCATTCAAAATCTTTTTATTATGCAGATATCGGCATAAAGTACCGAAGTTAAATTCATACGGATCATTTTATAACATATAATGGATTATAAAACCATACGCCAAGAAAATATATTTTAAAATTATGATAAGGTTACTTGTGACAATAACGTTGATCATTAAGTCACAAGACTGAACTTTCGGTCATGAGACCAGTTGATCGTGCGTATATCAGATGAGACAATTCCCACGGATCTATCGTCAAAAAAATAAAAACTGCTTACTCTCATCTTATCCCGTAAAAAATGGATGCGCCTACTCCTACTTATACTTTTGATAATCGTGGTGTCCCTACTGATCCTCAAGTTCTGAAAGTCTATAACGGTTTGAGTAGGACCCAAAGAACCACGTACAATACACTCGACGATCAGGCGAAAAGCGCTTTCTTGTATGGAATTGCGGAAGAAAAGAAAAAACCGGTATGTTTGCTTAGATGTTTACATTTGCCATTAAGCTTTTCACTGAGACTTGTTATAAATGTTAGTGGTGGCGTCGCTTGATTGATTTATTTCGATAGCGACATTATCTCAATCTTCTTTATGCTGTGATCAACTTACTTTCCGTCATCGGTTTTAATATTTGGAGCCACTATCAAAGACGAGACAGTCTAAAAGATTTTATTAAATGTTATAACCTTGAACAAGATTTTACTAAATGCTGGAGTAACTATAAGCCTGAACAAGACGTTATCCTTTACCAATTGTGCATTCTCTTTGGAACTCACATTGGGATGGTATTCATAACAGCAATAATAGAAGGATTGTTTAATAAGTTTCAAGTGTTGTTCATCATCGTTCCAATAATTACTGGGATAGGGTTGGCAATAGCGGGAGGCCTAATTTGGACGTTGGCATCTACTGCGATTTCTTTTGTAGAAGTTGGCATATTGTTTGCCGAGAGTGCCATGTATTATTTTAGTGTATACCATCGATAATAATGATGGTGAGGTTAGATCTTAAAAAAAGAAGGATGCCATTGCCCACGTCCACTATGCACTTAACCACTCTGTAATCGTACACGGATTTATTACCTAAATTTATTGTGCGGTTGATTAAGCGACACTCACGTGCCTTGATAGGAATCACACGATAGAGCGATGTTCATTCACAGTTATTTTCTTGGCTCATAGTAGTGGGTTTTATTCTCCCTTGTCGCCTCGTCTCCATCTATATAACGGCCTTCATTTCGGAGACAGAATGTAGCTCATGATTTGCAATTCCTAATCAGCGATACGCATAACGCGTGAAAAATTCATTTCTTTATTAATGAAAAAATAAATTACAAAGCTGGGTACAGACCCTGACTATTACATCATTTTTTGGCGCGGTATTCCTCAACCCTAGCTCTCTTAGTATCTGGGGACTTTTCCACACAAGCTCGATCCTTTAACAAACCAACGATAACACCTAATACCTTTTTTACATTCTTACGTAAAGCGAGGTGTTCTTCGGAATCCTCTTTCAAAGCATCTTCGGAAAATTCGATGGTATACGGCAACTTACTGCCTTGCGAAATTTGGTTAGGGCTATATAGGAGAAAGTGCCAATCCCTCCCTAGAATTTATGGATAATTTTGAGAGATGTAATCATTAAAAATACGATTAAAATTCCATATTTACCTGTTGTAACGATACCATATAGGTAATCAAAGTCGTCGTCAAATGCCTCACTGGCTTTCCGTTTTTTCTTGTTCGTCTCGAACGAGCTCTCAAGTTGAGCAATATTCTGAGCATAACCCATGGGAACTTTGTGCTGTTTGTCCTCAGTGATGCAAATCAAATCCTCGGTTTCCTAATATTAGAATGAGTATGAGAAATTACTCGGCAATTTTTACTGCTAAACTTTCAATATATACCTTGATGGCGTAATCGACTCGGCCTGTACTTTTTTCCCCGGTAACCTCGTATTGCGGTCTCATACTAAACTGCTTTTGTGTATCGTCTCGTACGATATGAAGGGCAGAATGGAGTAATGCCACAACGTATTCGTTCCGCATGCTTTCTAAACTATCTACGAGCAATGACCCGTAATCTCTCAACCGGACTAAAATCTCAGCCATGCAATGTGTAAAATGTTTATCATTGTCTTGAATCTCGTAGGTTGGGAGGGTGAATAACGGGATGGATTCAATACCATCACTATCGAGGCCATATTTTGCCAGTACTTCTCTCAGACTGCGGTACGACGAAAACGCCCTCAATTTTTTCTCCTTGATTTCTTTGGCGAAGTCCACAATTCTTGAGGCGGGTCCACCTTTCATACCATAGCTACGAAGTTTTTCCTCGGTCAACTTGAGGAAATCTCGACCGGCGATCTCCTCATTGCGTAAGATTTCGAAATGAGCATCGTTAAGTTGCAAGTCTTCCTCCCCACGCAAAAATTCGATAAGCTTTTCCGTATTCAACTTTCTCACCACTTCGGCTAAAGTGGGAGCTGGCTTTTCTTCCGTTACATTGTTAGAAGAAGCGGAGGCTGGAGTTGAAGTGGCCGACATTTTCGAGCTATATATGATTTTTTGGTGGAATATTATTGGTAGACTGCGGAATGGTACACAAGAAAAAGCGAAAAAACGACAAATTCTACCGGCATGGGTATATGTGAGAAATGTATTCGGTTTCACAATGCGTGTATCACATTACCTTTCGGCAGAAATTTTTCCGGATGGTCGCATGTGATATATGTTGATCGAACATCCGTGTTACGCAATCGATTTTTCAGGTATGTGATTTTCATTAACTCGTAATTTTTATTCATATAACAAAAATATAATCAAACATTCGGGTAGGTTCGAAGAACCATTGCTCTGCAATAAAATTTATTACTTTTTTAACTTTCCTCATTTATAGATTCCATATAAGAGGGTGGTTGACTACCTCCTTCTATATCGGGCATACTTAAATCACTGTTATTTTGTGATGCGGATATATTAAGGGCTGAGGTCATATTTGCTAACTCTGATGAAGATGAGTATGTCGCATTATCTAAATTTCCACCTACATCATTCGCGTTATGGCCCGGATCTCCACCCGCATTATTTGTGTTATCGCCTGGATCTTCACCAGCATCATTTGTGTTATGGCCTGAATTTCCACCCGCATCATTTACATTACTTGCATTATCTCGATTAGTAGTTTCGTCTCTTCTGCTGGGAATTCTTCGGGTCGGAGATGCGGATCGATCCCTTTGACCAGCGGAGGATTCACGGCGATTCATACTTGGAATTGATGGCATTTCGTAAGTTGGTGGTGGGGTACGGTTACGGTGTCGTCTTCTGGTGGATGTGTTTGTATTATGCAATATGTCGAATGGAGTTTCTATATTTCCATATACGAGGCAAATTCATGAATTATCTATATATTAACTACTACAGTGATAGATTATATCATAGGTGAACTTACCAGGTCTCTCCCAAAAATGAGAATTAAATTCTTCAAAATATCGTTCACCTGCTCTGCTCCTCTTTCCGGTTTTACTCCCAGCTATGTATAAACACATCGACTAGAAAAATTTCAGCGAAGCAGGCACAGCCAATATAAAAGTACATTAGAAATACTACATGTCTTTATGTCACTAGCTCTGCAATCATGCGAAATGTCATAGTTAAAGTGATATATAGAGTTTAACGCTTACGTTGTAATCTCTAACAAGATTCTGAAATCTATTATTACATTGTTGTCCTGTATAGGTAGTCCTAAATCGTTCATTGATTGTATCTGCAATACTATTCCAGAAATCAACCCTACTACTACCGGGAATGTCATGATACTCGGCATTGTGATTTTTTCTCTGGTCGATTAGTAAGCGTAATTGATCGTCGGTCCACATCACAAAAATTTAGATGATCCTAATTTCAACGGATGTTCAACTGAGATATGATAATTCCATACGTTTTTATAAGAAAAAAATTCATCGTACCTTCATCGTGCCTTCATCGTGCCTATATTACATCTTAATTATGAGTATAGCGGAGCTAGTGTCAAGACATATAATTAACGGCTAGAAAATTGCACATCTCGGATTTGAATATCTCGGAGCGATGATCCCAAATGAAATACTAATTATCACGCGTAAAAGCTAAAAAGCAAAGATTAACATTAATTTCGGGTTTGTACATCCTCATATAGTCACACTGGGAAATTAATCGTCGTATATATTACACTTAATAAATTCTGAAAATTTCGCATACATAATTGCGTTTACTTTCTGCATATGTATTTTGGGATTTAACACGTAGTATTGATGTTACTATATGATCGAGAATTTCTTGGCATTTTTCCGAGACGGCCCGTCCCGCAAATTTTAATTGCGTGAATAACTTACATGTCTGCATAATAAAAAGGTTTTGAATAAATCTGCACCTTATATAAAAAATGGCAAACACACAATCTAAAGTCGATTTATTAGAAGAACAGATTTCCAAGCTTACAGTCGAGATTGATAATCTTAGACGAGAAAATGCTGGAATACCAGAACTTAAAAAAGAAAACGCCGAGATCAAGGCTGAAAACATTGATCTTAAAGCTGAGAATGTAAAATTAAAACAGGCTTTGGAAGAACATGAATCCAGATTCATGAAACTGGAGCAGAACGATATAGATACCGCTTCTGAAAACGCTGAACTTAAAGTTAGAATTACGAAATTGGAACAGAAGCAGTTACAAAACGATGAAAAAAATAACCATATCGCTAAATTGGATGATACCATAGAAATTAACCAATCTTCAGTCTGCGAAGCAGGGCGCTTTGCGCCTAATATCACCTCTACTGAAACGGAAAAATCTAACGATGATATAGCATCTAATATATCTGATAATGCTTCAAATTCTGATATTTCTGAACAGGTAGAAAATAGTTCCAATATATTCCAGGAAAATGATGGCCGATGTTCTGTATCTCCTATTTCCCCTGAAACAAATTCTAACGATACTCATAAACAAGTAGTCTCACAAAGTAAGGATGCGCCGGCATCGGAAGACGAGGAAATGGATGCTTTCTTGAATGAGGTGCATAAGAAAAAGGTTAACGACGCAATTAAGCAGAGAAATTGGGAAAAGAAACTTCAAGCCCAAGAATCCCATCCTGAAGAGAAAATGCCTCAAGAGCTCAACTCGGTTATTCAACCATGCAATAATTTAACACCCGAAGTCGGTGAAAACGTCGACCTAGGTTCGCTCAAGTGTCCTACCTCTGATGCAGTGATCTATGATCAAAAGAGAGTTGCCGGGGGTAACAGATCACATAAGAAAAAAGGAATGGATGAACTCAAGCACGAATTATTCAATCCCCCTTTGGAATCAGATAGTCCATCCTCTATAAACCATAATAATGTGACTGAAATTTTCGGGACGGGCCGTCTCGGAAAAGTTACCTATGACAACATTGATGAAGCTTCACAACATCTAGCTCAATTATGTTATAAAGCTATCGATGCTGAAGATAGAGCAAATCGAGCTAATCAGGAAGAAATTCTATGTTGGTGCCTCTACTGGAAGGATTTCAGAAATCAGCTTGATGAGATTATCAGAAGCGGTGGTGGTAAAATTGGTGAAAAGAAGGCAAGAAGTATACTTTATGATACCATCACAGAACAGCTTTCTATCCTCCGCAAGAAAAGATCACAAGAATTGGAGCTACAACTTCGGGACGTACCACGGGATAGCTTGCGTAAGAAAACTCAGAGAGCTGAGAAAAACTATAAATTTTTCGAAAAAGTGGGTCTAGATAAGATCAAGTATATTAATTCTTATAGTGCGAATTCTCTTTCGGAGCTTACTAATGAGCAAATTCAAGAGGTTATAGATTATGGATATCTTTTAGAAAAATTACCTCATGTGACTGAAATTTCTGAGACGGCCCGTCCCAGAAAAAATTTAACCAAGAATACTCCACTGAAAACTGAGGTAAGTATACCTACTGAATCAATTCTTTTGGATTCATCCCAAGAAAATGATAAAGATTCGAAATTACCAGAAGTTGAGGTAAATACATCTACTAAATCTATTCCTACTGATTCAGAAAAATTACCAAATACCGAAGCAAGTGTACCACCCCCATCCCAGGTAAATACATCTAACAAATCCCGACCTTCAATTTCTGTCTTACCCGATGACCCGAAAGAGAAACAAAAACATGTTATCAAAATGGCATTGGAACGGTTTCCCGTTTTATCTTTGAAATATAGTAATGAATCTGGCGATTATTTTAACAGTTCAGTATCCTGCCCTTTATGCAATAAAGATCATAAAAAAGAAAATATAAGAGATAATATAAAGGGTGAATGGGGTGGTGGGGATTATGTTAATACAAAAACTTATCGTCTCAATTGTTGGGAAAATTATCAGAATCCAATTCAAATAGTAACTGTGACAGCATAGACCACTGATTATATGATGATTAATATACAGTATATATTTTTTGCTGGATAAGCATCACGCGTTATTTATCGGGCGCATCAAGTCGTACCGGAAAATTAAATCATGTTTGCACGATGTTTGTAGCACATCCGAAATAGATCTCATATGCTCAAAATAGATTTCATATGCCCGAAATAGATTCCACATGTCTGGAATAGATTTTTCATTCATATACTCAATTAATTATTGTTTATACTGGATAATATATATACAATATATATACGAGCAATTTTTTATATAAATAGCAATGCCTGAACTCGAGAAACTTTACTCCTCACACTTTACACCTTCTCTGAAAGATCCATTATATCACAAAAATAACCACTCTGTGACTGTCTTCAGTAATACAGATACTTTGAACCCATCCCACCCAACACATACAAAATTTACTACTTGGCATAAGCCAGTATGTCACCTTATACCAGCTCCACTAAAATGCCGAAAATACAGTATAAGCTAATGCTGAAAACTCAATATATCAACCTATATGAGTTACAGACTTGTTTCTAAATAGTCTGATCGCATTAGTAATATATCATCCGAAACTTTTCACAGCTCTAAAGAGTTATGCCCTATATTTTTCGGTATGGGAGCAAAACCTATAAACTCTATACTATGTATAACTATATCAAGTTTTATAATTTCCACCGTAATTTGCTGTTTTATAATTTGTGGTTCTTGGATCATAAATAAACATGATATCATAATATAGAAAACAATTTTGAGCTTTCATTAAAGAGATGGTCCGAGAATCCAATCACACAAAAATTGAATCATGTATTCATAATGTATTAAGTTATTAAATCTAATAGGTCTAAATCCCTAAATTCAATATAAATCACATAATCTTTAAAAACGCTATAAATCACTTAATCATTAAATATGGTCTATACTGATAAATGCCCAGTTTTGAGCGATACTGAATGGAGAGATAATTGTCAATTCTCAGTAATGCTCGATGGAGAAACCCCATCTGAATGGAAGAAACGAATCTGGGATCAGTTAATATTCTATAGAAACAATAATCACCTAGGTAGTGATAAGAAGCGATATCTTATTGTAAGAAAGTATGAACCTTTAGAAGGATATAACAATAGATTTTATATTGAAACGAACATTGTTATATGTTATAGCTGTGATCAGTTTGTTTATGTTGATAAAAGAGTAGGATATAAATCATATCACAATTATAAGATGGAAGAGCATTGGCGTACAAAATGTTCTGGAAATAAATATTGTGATATAAGTTTCAAAGAATATATGGAACTTAAACAAGAGACCAACCCTGATATTTTCACCAGATTAGCTATTTATCGATATGAATTGCGAATGGAAAATCTTATCAGAAAGATTAAACATATTCGAGAAACTGCAAAGAAAGATCGAGCATGTAGAATCATACAACAGAAGTGGCTAGAAATTTTCTACAGACCCGACGGAATGTGTGCTACAGAACTCGCTCAACACTACAAATTACTATGGGCAGTTCGAGAAGAGATGCGTCAAGTTAACAATGTATAGCTTAATTTATTATAACACATATCCATTTATTCGATTTAATTTATTTATTAATTATATAACTTATTCATATATATATATATCTTTAAAATAAAATCATCTGAGGTATTCCTGAGGGCTAGTACTTTAGACTTTATTTATTGCTATTTCGTGATGATTAATAGCTACTTTTTTTTTCTCAACATATGTTTCATACTTTTCATGAAAGATTCCAATTTTTTCTACAATATAAAATACAATATTAGTTTCTCGATACTATATATCATGAAATTCAATAAAGCATATTCTGATCTGATTCGCCAATTGCCACCCTCACTAACATATGAAGCTTGGAATCATTTAATCTCTCAAAAAAGAAATCCAATGACCGAGAAAGAAGCCAGCGCAGTGAATCCATTGGTTGAGTCATTTTTAAGACATGAGATAAATAGATATCAAAAAAAGTTAAAATATCACCATCAAAATCCATCACCACTTGAAAATTTATCATATAATATAAACATGGTTAACCAAGAATCCCAAACCCAAGATACTGTCCCAATTTGTACATGTGATTACCAGGAGGAAATAAATCACCGGGTTAAAAAAGAGCTGGATATTTTATGTCGACGATTACTTGAATATAATAAAAAAACTTTTGGTTCTTTTATGCTAGAAATCACTAAACAGCATGAGGAGCGGGTCGAAGCCAATAAGAAATTGTGATCTGAGGTTGAAGAAAAGAAGATAGAATTATAACAGGCAGAAAAATATCTTGAATATCTGAAATCTCGCTCTACTCATTAGAAAGATCAAGTGTCTGGTCCCAACCTCTGCGAATATAAAAAGGGTCTTCCTTTGCCCTAGTCCGGTCAATCACAATAAATTCTCGACCCTGTAAATTTTTATCAAGTATATCAATAACATTACGCCAATTTTTTGTATATTACCGGGCAATATTTACTAGCTCATCATAAGTTCCTGCTCCATTAAAAAGTACAATATAATCTGAATTTTTTCTTACTTTACCTGGATAATCGAAGAAGCTTTGTGTTATATATATTGAACTGATATTAGAGTGGCGTCCTTCAGTGAAGTAAGAGACAATTTTATCTTGTATTTTTTTAGACTCATTGCATATATCTTCGAATATAGTAACTGTTCCTCTTTCAGGAGAGAAATCTTCTATTTTTGGTATTTTATCAGGTTTCATTGCTTGGAATGTAATATCTTCACGATATAGTTCTGGACTATTTGCAATTATTTGATAACAATCATGAAGATGTTTATATTTTGGCTCCTTGAGGTGATGTCCGATCAAAACCAAATCGTCATTCTTAATATAACATGTTCCACCTTTTTTTCCATTAAACATTCGATTTATCTTGTTTCCAAGTAAAAGATTAATAACTTTATTGGTTTTCCCTGATCTAGTTCGCCCTGAGATCATCATATTGAATGGTCATTGGGGTGTTGAATTAAGGCCATTAAATCTCTCTATATTTTTGTATTCATCGATGTTTAAAACCATCTTCTCAACTGGATCAAGCTTTTCTATTTTCATCCCGATTAAGCTAAGTAATGCTAAATTATTATATCGAAAAATAATAATCTATATTGCTATATACATATATTCACCAGATTTTTTATTCCGAAGAATCGCCAAAGGTAGTCACAGATTAGGTATCTGTATCTGACCCACTATTCGTATCTGAATATCAACTAATAATATCAAGAGTAGGATTTTTACTCTGTAAGGTTGTAATTGCATTTGTGCTAATTTTCTCGCAACCTTCAATGACAAACTTCTGGAGATTACACAAATTTGCTAATGCGGACATAGATACATCACTAATATCACAACATTCAAGTTGGAGGTTTTCAAGATTAGGGCAAAGCTGTGCTATCTCACAAATAGACTCATCAGATACGAATTCACACTCATTAAGATTAAGATATCTAAGGTTCGGGTTAGATTGTGCAATTTTTTTAATTGATATATCAGTAATCCCTTCACAACCCTCTAACACATAGCTTTGCATATTTGGACAAGCTGAAGAAATTGCACATATACCTTCATCTGTTATTTTTTGGCAATTGACTAAACTTAGAGTATGGAGTTTCGGGCATGATTTGGCAATCTCGATTATAGATGCATCAGTAATATTCTTATTATAATCCAATTTCAGGTGGCATAAATTAATACATGAGTGCGCAACTGCTCTCAATGATATGTCGGTTATCTTAGAAGAGCTAAGTTTCAGATACTGTAGATTTGGACATAAATGAGCGATTTTACATAGAGTTGTATCCTTCATGTTTTTATATTTACCGAATCGTTTTACATTATTTATATTTCTCATATTGTGTGATACATTAAGAGATTCCAGATGGCAAATTTGTGTGATTTTACTAATGACCCTATTGGATATACCATGACACCCTTTGATTTTTAGATGGCGTAAATTAGGACAGGATTTGGCAATTTCATATAACATATTGCTAGAGACCTTACAACTAGAGATATGAAGTCGAAGTAAATATGAAGCATGAGGTTTTCGATTCTCACGCATTACCTTTTTGAATTTACTCCACTGCATACAAGATTTTTTTAGATCACCAGTAAATTCGGCCTTTCTCCATAATATTAGAGCAGAGCATAAATACCACAACCAGTTAACAAATAAGGTTGGGTATAGTGCTTCATCTATAGCGAGATATGAGAAAATTTCAGTTAGTATTTCTGATAAGTTTAATGGATATAGTTTATTATACGGCATTGCTACTTATCTTTATAGATCTGTTTATTATATAAAAAGAAAATTATATCGAATGTATTGATAAAGCTAGCTCTTCTAAGAATCGGAAGTGGGTAAATATCCCTTCTCAATCAAAGTAGTGCGAATATAGGACCCTATATCTGAATCGTATGGAATTTCAATAAGATCTATTCCCTCTCTTTTACATATATCTCACTTTTTTTGATCACAGTTCCTTTGTGTATCTAGGTCAACCTTGCCATTAGGGTGGAAGTATTTTGGAATAACATGAAAATGTTAGACGCCCTGGAATTCGAATGCCAGGTGTAATTCCTTATTATAACCATCTAAATGTAATCTATCCAAAAATTTATCTGAACACGGTGGGAATTTCTTACCTAACAGATCCTCAAAAATGTATCGACAATTGCGCTCTTTAGTATGATGGCAAAGGGGGCACCACTCAAATTTCTTCGCAATCAATGGATATGGATATTCCCACTGGTGAAGTCCATTTTCGCATGACCAAAGATATATATTTAAACCATTTATCTGCCAAATTACACCAAGACATTTTCCATCACGCTTCTCAGCATAAGCCTGAGCTTTAGCTATTTTATTAATAGCATGAATGAAATTAATTGATTTGGAGCGAATATTTTCTTCCAGTATGCTCTGGGGTGGATATTCGATTTTTTCAGGAAATACGTGCATGAGCTCCTCTCTCACAAATGCCCTTTTTGGAGGATATTCATCATCATCACTTCCAAGATAATATAATACAGGTTCATTTTTCGATACTATGATTTTGCGAATTTTATGAAGACTCGGACTGAACATGGGGTCCGTTACGCGCCTCTGTTCCAAACCTGGAGATCCTTCCCATTCTCCATCAGCTAATAGATAGCGAACTGTATCACCCTTCTTTAACCTATTCTCCTCATATTTCTCAATTGGGCGTTTTGGTTTTATTGCTGGTTTTGATTCGACCTTTTCTAACATGATTGCCTTTGCAGGTGCCAACCCCCATTTCGAAGAACCTGGAGCTCGAATAAGGCGAGTTGGATAATTATTTAGGTAATTAATCACTTGAGGAAGATACTTAATCCACGCTCTTACCAGCTGAGATTTAGAATCTATTTGTTCGACACTGTATTGAATTTTATAGAGTATCCCTGCAAGGGTTTTACAGAATCTATCTACAATTGCGAGTCCTCGATGGCTATATGCACCAATTACTCGAATTACTACACTGTGTTCTTGCATTATCCGGCTCGTTTCACTCTTATACTCACCCCCACCGTCAACAGTTAGTAATTTAGGCCAGGTTAGTGGATTTTTCGGATCATCATAAATTTTCCTGAATGCTTTGGCAACCTCTGAACTTTTCTTCGATGTGAGAGGAACTGAGGCCTTATTTCTTGACGCACAATCCACTATATTTAATACTGCTATATAGGTTTTGCTATCAACTCTATCATGGGTAAGGAATAATAAATCGGCCTGATGTACAATATTAGGTTTTTGTATCTTGCTATAGCTGGCTCGCTGTATTTGCTTCAGGGGTGGTGAATATATCTGCCAGGCACTTTGTTTGTGCAACCAGTCTCGGACCTTTTTGAATGGAAATCGATATCCTTCATTCTTGAGATCTTCATACAACTTTCGAGCATTGGAATAGTATTCAGTTGGTTGATAGAACAATAACCAACAAACTAAAGATAATTCTTCCAATGAATCTATAACTATCTGTGGTTCTTTCATTTTTGATTTATCATGCTATATAAATCACGAAAAACATATGAATTAAACTTCGAGCCTATATTATAAAAATGCCGAAAAGATTAATTCTAGATGATGTGAAAAAACTTGCGAGAGACTGGGAGGGGCAGTGGCTCATTTTGATACATTTCATTATAAATTATGTTTTAGCAAAGTTGGGAGATAAGTCAATATAATATGCCATAAAAAATAATCATGACATTTCGTAAACCACATCCTAATCGAATATCTTGTGGGTCAAGCTCTGATCGAGAATTGGAACTGGAGCAGGTAAATCAAGCTTTGAGAGATGAGTTATCTAATGAAGTTTCAATTAATAGGTCGAATGAGAAATACATAAATGAGCTGGAGCGTAAATATACCAGATGTGAGAAAGAAATCTAATCTCTTAATGAAGAACTGGAACGGCTCGAGAATGCTTCAGATGAGGAAAGGGCAGAGTTAAGATCAGAAAACTCTAGCCTTCGTATACAAATCTATAATGCCAAGAAAGAGATTTGAGATAAGGTATCTCACATTGCTAATATAGAAAGATAGTTTCAAGAATTGGAAGAGCGAGTTTAAAATCTGAGACATAGAATCAAAGTTATTTCTTCCAGAAGAAGCTCTCCAAGCTTATATAATTCAGAAGAGGAAGATACAGATATGGCACATTTAGATCCCTTTACAAATATTACTAGGGGATTAACTCGACTCAAAAACCATTTCAGAGGACATGGTACACCATTAAACAATCCTGCCAATATTGTCCAAGGTATGCATGGTACTTTAAATACTATTTGGACTAATTATCAAAGAATAGATCGGGATTTAGATAATATTGCAAATCAACGAGATGCTCGAGATGCTCAAATAGTACAATTACAGCAGGATATTAATGGCTATAGACAACGAAATGAAGATCTTCAAAATCAAGTTAATCAGCTTACTCAAGAATGAGACACCTTTCAAGCTCAAGTAGCCCAACAACAACAAAACCTTGGATTATTAAATCAGCAAAATATTGTTTTTCAAAGACAAATAGAGGAGATAGAAAAATATCGCAATTTTTGGAAGTTGAATGCTATCTATATCAAAACTCAAAAAGACAGACGTATTAGTTCATTATTACATCAACAATTTGTATTACAGCTCCTGAATAAGCGATCAAACTAGCAATTGGAATGGCAATTGCGACAATGCCATAATGATAGGGTTTTCTTACAATTTTGGTATGATCGCGTTGTTCCAAGATATGAAAAATGGAAAGCTAAAACTCATGATGCTCGGCAAATAATTTTGAATTTGAATCAGCAAATATTTGCACTTCATAATAATCTACCTATAAATATACAAACAAACATGGCAACAATCCCGGCACCAATATTTTCAGGTGGTTATGATGAAGATATTGATATTTTTATTAGTCGATTATCAGCATATTTAGCTGGTATAGATATAAATCCAGTTGGTAGAGCTCGAGATAGAGCATTTGGTATTCTTCGAGGATGTTTATCTGGATCAGCATTAGATTGGTTTGATCGAAAAATTCTTGGTAAGCGGTGGGAACTTCATAATATTCTTGCAAATCATGGACAAGCCAATATAGCTGGTATCCAAGGGCGTACTATGACACAGATGAACACTTCTAATAGTTTTAGAAATCCCTCAATTGCCCATACCTATGCTAATGTTCCTGCTAATAATGCTGTAACGATTGGTAATTCAATGATTCCTGCTGAAAGTTTTAATGAAGATTGGAGATTGGCTGGAGGGCGACCATCAGATAGACCTGCCAATGCAGTGAATGCAGGTAATAATAATACTATAATATTAGATAATATACGAATTGGACAGACATTATATTAGCTCAAGAATGAATATCCTACAGTACTTAGTGAAAAATGCAGTCTAGTGTTTGGATCATTGGTACAAGGCGATGACCCTTTAGGAATATTTTATGCAAAACTTAGAAAATATGGTAATATGTTAAATCATGATGAGGAACAAATCAAAGGTCAATTTTTACGTGGCTTATCACCTGATCTAGAGGATGATGCAGATCGTATTGGCACTGAACAACCTTTAGAAAATCTTTTTACAATATTGGAACGAATTGAAACGCGTAGATTGGAAAAAAGACTAGGATTAACATCGAAAATTTCACAATCGAAATATAAATCATCTCCATCTAAAGGTTCAAAGAATATTTATTCTGGAGATACTGGTTTAACTGAAGCAGATGTGGAAAGAATTGTGAAAGCTCAAATGACCTCAATACAACTGACTTCTCCACATTTACAGTCTTCATCACAACAAATTTCTCAGTCAGATTTACAAGCTATAACCAAATCAATTCAAGATACCTTGGCTAGAGCTGTTAAAACCTTAGAGAATAAAAAAACATCCTATAAACAAAAATCAGATAATGCAAAAAAGGTAGAAGATATTATTATCAAGTGATTTTTAGATGAGATGCACAAGCAAAATCCTGATATTGATCCTGTTGAACTTTATGATTATGACCCAATAGATGATCTTACAGATAGTATGGCGGGATTATCATTAAATAAAGTTATAGCCAATGCTGTAAAAAAATCGATTCATGCTGTTTCAAAATTATCTCAGCATCGGTACTCAAATTGTAATAGGACTGGTCATAATTCTCGCAAGTGTACTCAAAAAAAGAAGAGTAAATCTGCAACTACTTCTAGCAAGAGTAGATCTAAAAAAAGAGCTAAGGTAAATATTGCTAATATAGATTCTCCGTCAGGATCAGATACTAATTCTTCTGATAATGAATCTAATTCTGGTTCTGAATCCGGATCTAATTCTGGTTCTGAATCGGAATCTGATACCAAGAATAATTTAACTGAGACTGAAATCACGAAAATTATCAATGCTGTCAAAGCAAAAAAAAAGTAAAGCCTAAGGAACCCAAGATCAAGAAAGAATCCAAATCTCACAAGACAAAACAGAAGGATACTTTTACTTCTGGTAAGTCCAGAAATAAATTAACTCGTGTAGAACAGTCTCTCCAAAAAATTGTATTAGATATGCTTGAAAAAGCTTTACCTGCACATTGGTTAGAGAAACTGAAATCAGAAATTGAAAATCCATCCAAGCCCTTCAGGAGCGACTCTATAAGTCATATACCTCCATCTACCAAAAAATCTGATTATAATGATTATCGAGAACCAGTTCCAGCATTACCTGAATCTGATGGGGAAGAAGAGATATTTAATGATCCCATGGAGATTGATTTTGTCCAAAAGAAAAAGCCGATAAGTCTCGCAACTATAGAATGTAAAATCAAGCGCTTAAAAATACCAGCAATGGTACTTGATAGTGGTGTCGAGCTTATGATTATATCAGAAGATATTATTAAACGTGTAGGTTGGGAAATTGATAAATTAGTAACGTATGATCTAAGTAGTGTTGCTACTGTTCCAACAGAATCTATTGGCGTTGCTCGTAAGTTACCCATAATATTTCCTTCAGGTTTCACTATATGTGAGGATTTTGCAGTTGTGTGACCTCCCAAGTCAACCTTGATTTTCCCGAATTCACTCCTTAAAAAATATGAGTGTGCAATTGATTGGAAGGACAATAAGTTAAAGATCTGTCATAATGACAAAGATTTTATTATTCCAATTAATATGCACAAAGCCAAGAATAAGGTTGAAGTAAATTGTACAACCGCATCTTAGGATAATAAGCCTCTGGTATCCGATCAAATTTCTCAGGAGACAGATAGTGGTAAGGATGATAATATACCATTTGATAAGTGGTGTGCTCCTGCGGGTTTTAGCTTATTACAAAGTAATGGGACTCTGTCCCTAGATTCTGTCAATTCGACTTTAAAAAAAAACACATGAGCTATGAGGAACTCGAAAAAACATTATATGAGGTACTTGATTCTCATACTGAATTATTCGAGCTTAATAAAAAACTACGGGCATATAGAAATGAGTCAGATATTGAAATACTATGTGGATTACAGACTACTCTAGAAAAAACAAAAATAGATTAGTTGGAATCCATAAATCTTTTTGACTCACGTTTACCTTCTTCTCTTTCTTTGCGACTTTGTGTAAGCTTAGCTTATAGTTTGTCCATTTCATCTACATTTTTTATTGGATTATTGGTCATGTCAGCCTTATTAATAATATTGACTGAATCAGATATTTGAACAGATCTGGGATTAGATCCTGATTTTCTTTTCTTTGACCGCCTATCCGAAGTATTATTTTTAGGCATTATCTCAGAAGAAGCAACACTATGTATTATTTGTTGTTTGCGCAGGGATAATCCTTGAGCATGTCTTTTCCAAATTTCATAAATTCTACGAGTTGAAGTATCATATTTATCAGCCATTTCCCTGCATGCATTTTTAACAGTCCCCCGAGATTGAATTATTTCCTCAATAGCTTCTGGAGATAGATAAGGAGTATCGGCACGATAATATTCCACAGTTATGTGTTCCATCCTTTTTTTTATAATTATAAAAAATTATCGAAGATTATTGAAAATACTAAAATACGCCTATATCTCTTATGATCAAAAATTATCGAAGATTATTGAAAACATCCTATACCCCTTATGATCAAAAAAGATCGGTAATTATATGTAATTACATATTTAATATTCAATAATTTTCTAAAAAAATCGGTAATTATCTGATATTGTTGAATTATATTAGAGGCATATTTTTTTGATAGCTTCACCAGATAAGTATATATATATCATATTTCCCATATTTTGTTATTTTCCATAATATTTCTTATTATTTAATATGGCCAATATGATAGACCTTAAGAAAGAATTATATGACGCCCTCCAAGATTCTTCTGAGATAGCTTCTTATAATGCTAAATTGCAGGATAAGTATGGAAAACAAGAAAAAAAAATTAATCGGGAGAGAGAACAATGGGATCAGGATAGAAAAAAGTGGAGTAAAAAACTAGGAGGGATTGTTACTGAGAATCAAAACCTGCAGTTTGAAAATGCTAGCAAAGCTATTTCTCTTGCTAATTCTAAATTTAAAATTGATATAAAATCCAAGGAAATTACAACACTTTAGTCTATGAAAAAAATATTAGAAGGTAGATTAACATCGGCTCAGAATGACGCAGTTTTGACCTAGGAAGAGATATCAAAAAAAGAATCTGAGATTACGTCTCTCAAGTCTGAATTGGTAAATTTAAAGGATGAACTGGCCTTGAAAATTAGTAAACTTGGGCGTATGAAATCGGAAGACGTATCTCATTCTGTGATTAGGGGGGATCGATAAAAAAAATATAACCAAGTCTGATGATATATCTGCAGTTAGTGAACCTAATAAAAATCTCAGTAAATATTTTATACGCAGAAAAAATATGGATGAGACCAAAAAAATCAATACATATCTTGATAATAGCTCTGTTATTATGCCGGATCACATTGATGATAAAATTACTGAACCAGCAAAAGTCGATACCAAGATTATTCCTAAGGTAAGTGATGAAACTAATATTAGTAAAACTAGTAAAGATATTATGTTAGATACATTGATAAAACCAGATATATCTGAGAATATGACCCCATACCTTGCACAACGGGAAAATTATACCCCCTCTCCAATTAAATCATATCCTCAAATTTCGATAGGAGGAATAGGAGCAATTCCTGCTGTGGCAAGCACTTTGATGTCACCGCTATTGGCATATATTTTTCTTATCTTATTGATTATCGCAGTTATGTGGTTCGTGGTATTGAGATGTGAATGGGGGGTCGGTAAAAAAAGTGATCAGTTGCAAGATGCGCGGGTCGGGTATTAGGAACTGGCTATTTGAACTTCGAAGTTATTTATGTACGAAAAAATATTATTAATAATGTATAGGTATCTTAGTAGATTATGGCGATCTTAGCTAAGAATACTTAACAATATAAGTCGACAATCTCGTCAATATCTGCTTCTGATAGATCGTCTTTTTTACTATTTTGTATAATAGATAGTGCTTGAAGACATGCAATCTCAAGGCCGATTACCTTGTACCATGTATTCTGGAAATCTATTAATGCTTCACACTCTGATTCCAGATTATATCGAAATATATATTGTTCTAAAATTGTAATATCAGGCTTGTATTTCTGCGCTCGCACAATTAATTCGTATATCCTATTTTTATATTCCACATTAAGCTTAGATAATTTTGAAAGTAGATCTGATAACTTTAAATGAATAGAATCTGCAATTTTATATAATGCATTAAGATAGTATGTCTCGTAGAGGCGCCTGAAGGCCTGGTTATGCCAGCTTTTCTAATACTGGGACATATTTTTTGAGTGTGGGTAGTAGCATCTTTCCATAAATGGGAGATAATGGTTTCATCTTTTTTCGGAGTATCACATAAGTTCTTGATATAATTTTTAAGCTATTTTTTAGCCAATTTCTGCGACTCTACATCTTTGATATTTGCTATTTCATCTTCATCTAGACTCAGAGAGTCATTACTTTGCAATAAATCCTTAACATTTTTTGATTTCTTCTCCTTTGATTTCTTTTTACGATCCAAGGCTTTTGTCAGAGATTCGGGTGATGGTTGGTATTTATCATCATAATTTATAAAATGGGTACAAAGGGCAAATAAACTCTCGGTATAATAATCAATATTTATTTTCTTGTTAAACCTTTTTACCACATCTGGATATTCCATACAGTCTCCTTTTTTCTGTGATATTTTTTTTCCGCAATTATCATAAATCTCTTCGGGTACTACTACAATGTAACTAAATCGTTCACCGGGTTTGGGAACTTTATATAAATATTCATTGATAGATAAACCCTTCTTTATAAGCTATTGATTTTCCAATACCTCGCGATCATATCTAGCCCCCATTCATGAAACAAACTGTTCTACAGAAATATTTCCCTGCTTACCTTCCTTTTTAGATCTCCATATACATGTCTGGATAAATTCATCATAATCTAACTTGGAAAGTTTTTCTACATTTTCCCAAAGAACTTTTTCAACAATCTGATGTATCATTTCCTCATTATCGACTTTCAAAGTTCTATTCATAATCTCCTCACCTACATTACGGAAGAGCTTAGATTGACCTCTTTTCACAACATCCACCTCTCTAATGAAAAGTTTACCCGGATTAAAGTTTGGCTTATCTTTATGCTCCAGGCCATAGTATTTTTTCTTTCCTGTAAATACTACAGGAAATAAGACCTCCTCGTATGCCATATTGAGGTAAGGTGTTCCATTGTCCTTTTCCAGCTCAGTATTTACATCGTTACGGAGGTTCTTCATTACTCCCATAGAGATTTTTACCATTTCTCCCCAGTACTCTTCTCGTGAGAGTTGATTCAATTTATATTTTTGATCACATTCCTGAAAACACTCTCCTGGGCATGTGAGGTATAAAGAATCAGTATCTCCATATTTGACATCAAACCCTTTATTCTCAACGAATTTTCTAACAAATTTAATATTACGCTTTCCAGCAGAAGTAACTCCACCCACTAACTGAAGTTGATAGAATAAAGAGAGATTATTACCCGCTTCACCATAAAATATATTCATATATAATTTTACTGCCTTTTGTTTTGAGTCTAAGTAACTATATTCGAAACTTTTCTCATCCAACTCATTAAGGTATTTTTTCATCTCCTTTCATTTATTAAATAGGTTTTCTAACACCCTGGCATATAAACCCTTTTCTTCAGGTATATTATTGTGATGAATAGACCAAGCTTCTATAGTTCGACCATTAAATGAAAACTCAATCTTGTGAAGTTTCTTTCTACTATGTAATGCATTTATCGCATCTCTATGAGATAGTATAATCTTATCTGGTGAAAGGTTGTAAGTCATCATAAGACTTGGGTATAGAGAGGTAAAATCTAAACCTGTTACTGGACGTTTGTTTTCGAGACCCTTTATCAGTATAATAACATAAGCTCCTGGGTACTTACCAGATTCTGTATTTTCTGAAGCAATCATACTACACAACATATTACTGCTCCAAGCTTCAGCTCCCAAAAGATTACATACTTTCATACCCCCCGCGAAATAATGAGAATCAGAGAGGGACACATATGCAATAGATGATACTTCCCTATAGTCATTGATTACATTATGCTTAACCATAAGCTCTTGGCATCGCAATGCATCTATAACACAATAATTTGCAACTTCACACATATTTTTAGCCGATGTATCAGAGGGGTGAAATATTGTATCTTCATATATTTTGTTCATAGTAGTTATTGGCATATCCGCCTTGCTATCCAATCCACATTTTCCCAAATAATATTTCAGTGAACTTGCTTCTGATTTTTGGTATAACTTTTTGAAGCAAGCACGAACATCAATAGGTATA